AGAAAAAAAAGAGGAGTATTGTTCAAACATTTTTTAATCTTAAATATTTTATTCTTTCTGATGCTATTGCAAATAAGATTGCTTTCCAAATTTCCTTTTCAAGTAGTTTGTTGTTATGGTATAGAAACACAACTGATTTTTATATATTAGTTTTTTTTATCCTGAAACATTAGTAAATTTGTTTATTAGCTGTAATATTTTGCGGAATAGTTATGGATTTTTTTTTTGAGACAGGGTCTAGCTCTGTCACCCAGGCTGGAGTACAGTGGCACAATCTCAGCTCACTGCAACCTCTGCCTCTTGGGTTCAAGTGACTCTCTTGCCTCAGCCTCCAGAGTAGCTGAGATTACAGGCACCCACCACCACGTCAGGCTAATTTTTTGTATTTTTAGTAGAGATGGGGTTTTACCATGTTGGTCAGGCTGATCTTGAACTCCTGACCTGGTGATCCACCCACCTCAGCCTCCCAAAGTGCTGGAATTACAGGCATGAGCCACTACACCTGGTCATATTATTATGGTTTTTAAACATATAGAATAATGTTTTCTACAAACAGAGATAATTTTACTTTTTCCTTTTGGACTCTGGATGGCTTTTATTTCTTTTTATTGACTAATTGCTCTGGCTAGGACTTTCCGTTCTATGCTGAATAGAATCACAGGTGTGGGCATGCAATATTTTGTAGTTTTTTCTTAAAATTACAAAACATTGACAAAATAAATTAATAAAATTATGAAAATAAAATAATTAACTAATGAAGAGATTTCTCATGGTCATAATTGGAAGACTCAATGTTTTCAAAATGTCCATACTTCCCAAGGAAATTTACAGGTTAAATGCAAAACTATCAAAATCCCAAGAGAAAATTTTAAAGCTGTAGTAAAAAAATCTTAAAATTTGTAGTGACATTAAATTAAAATATATACAGAGACAAAAATACTTCAAATAGCCAAAGTAATCTTGAGGAAGAAGATCAAAGCTGGAAGCATAACCTTTCCTGATTTCAAAGTATATTACAGAACTATAGTAATAAAATAGTATGTTATTGACATAAAAACAGATACAGATTACAATGAAACAGAATAGAGAACCCAGAAATAAACTTATACATATATGATCAAATGATCTTTGGTGGGGGTTCCAAGAATATAAAATATGAAAAAGACAGCCTCCTCAATAAATGATCTTGGGAAAACTGGAAATTCACATGCAAAAGAATGAAACTAGACCCTTATTTACACAATACAGAAATAAAATTAACTTGAAAGAGATTAAAAATGTAAACCTAAAACCTAAAACTATAAAACTCCCAGAAGAAAACTTAATATAAAAGTTTTCATGCACACAAATGTTCACTGCAGCACTGTTTACAATAGCAAAGACCTGGAAACAACCCATATGCCCATCAACATAGACTGGACAAAGAAAATGTGGCACATATATACTATGGAATACTATATAACCATAAAAAATGATGAGTTTGTGTCCTTAGCAGAGACATAGATGAATCTAGAAACCATCATTCTCAGCAAACTGACACAAGAACAGAAAACCAAACACCGCATGTTTTTACTCATAAGCAGGTTACGAACAATGAGAACACTTGGGCACAGGGAAAAGAACAACACTCACTGGGGTAGGTGGGGGGTTGGGGGGGGTGGAGGGACAGCAGGGGGTGGGGAGGATGGGGGGGATAATACCGGGAGAAATGCCTGATGTAGGCAACGGGGGGGATGGAGACAGCAAACCACCATGGCATGTATGTACCTATTCAACAATCCTGTAGGATGCAGGATGTGCACATGTACCCCAGAGGCCAAAGTATAATTAAAAAGGTTTTGAGATTATTTTTGGCAATGGTTTTCTGGGTATGACACCAAAAGTAGAGACAACAAAAGTATAAACAGACAAGTGGGACCATATCAAACTAGAAAGCACTTGCACAGCAAAGGAAAATATCAACAGAATAAAAAGGCAACCTAGAGATTTGAGAAAATACTTGTAAACGACATATCTGATATTTGAGAAACTTATAAACTGAATAGAAAACAGTGAAAACAGAAAGTAACCCAATTAAAAACTGAGCAAAGGACCTGAATAGACTTTTTTCTATAGAAGACATACAAATAGCCAAAAGGTATATAAAAAGGTGCTCAACATGACTAATCATAAGGAGAATGCAAATAAAAACCACAATCAAATATCCCCTCACACATGTTAAGACGGCTATTAAAAAAAAACTATTTTGATAAAAAAAATCATAAATGTTGGTGAGGATATGGAGGCATTAGAACCCTTGTACCCTGTTGGTGGAAATGTAAAGTGCTGCAATTGTTATGGAAAACAGTATAGAGATTTCCCAAAAAATATTAAAAGTACTATATGATGCATCAATCCCACCTCTATGTCTGTTTTCATTGCAAATTTATTCACCATAGTCAAGTTATGGAAACAAACTCAATGTCCACCAAGGGATAAATTGATAAAGAATATATGGTGTGTACATTAAAAATATATATATATTTGAAGGTTGAATAATATTCCATATTATTATATTATTCATATATATATCATAGAATATTATATATGGCATAGATGTGCCATATAAAACAGAATATTTTATATATCATATATATGGCATATATATCATGGAATATTGGTCAATCTTAAAAAAGTATTTGTGTGTGTGTACGTATATATATCTATATGTACACACACACACACACACACACACACACACACACAAAATACACCCCATATATTGACTGGTGAATAAATTTCACCACAGCCAAGATACGGAAACAAACTAAATGCCTATCAAGGGGTAAGTGGATAAAGAATATATGGTATTATGTATATGAATTTTTTGAATATATATACATGAAGGTTAAGTAATATTCTATGTATATGTATATCATAGAATATTATTTAACCTTCAAAAAAAGAAAATTCTTCCATATGTGGTAGCACAGATAAACCTAACGGATATTATGCTAAATGAAATAAACCAGACACAATAACACAAGTATAGTATGATCTCACAAGTGAAATCTTAAAAAAACCAAACTCATAGAAACAGAGAATAGACTAGTGATTGCCAGGGGTTGTGTGGAGGGGGAAATGAGAATGTAAAAAAAAAAAATAGCCTGTGGCATGGCAGGTATAATGCCATATTGAAGTGAAACCACCATGATGACCCATACTTGACTGTGGCATACCAAGGTGTTTTACAGCAAGTGCTTCAGACAATGCCTGTAGCACAGATAACACCTCATAAAGATGCTTAGCTAACTTCCTCAGTTGTCATCAGTTTCCCCAAGAAAGTCTGAGATGTGATCAGCTGCGCGTGTCTTTACCCTAAAAACCTGCTGTATAAAGGATACTTTCTGGAGAGTAGGTGTGGTGATTCCCTGTGTTGCAGTCATCCAAGTATCACTTCTGTTCATAAGTCCCTAGTAAACATTTCTTTCTGAGAAACTGGATTTGTCAACCTCCTCCTTAGACCTCTCATCTCCCTTGGCTGTTGGGGGTAGGTTTCCATACACCTGCTCCCCTCAGAACAGAGGAGCTGTTGTTCAATGGATACAAAGTTTCAATTAAGCAAGACAAATAAGTTCAAGGGATCTATTTAATATTATACAACATTCTACCTATAGTTAATATTGTACTGTGCATTTAAAACACTTAAGAGAAGATTTTACAATGTGTTCTTACCACAAAAACTAACAAAACATAAATGAGCACAAAGAAGCTTTTGGGAGTGATAAACATGCTTATTACCTTGATTGTGATGATAGTTTCACAGGTGGATGCCTATGTTCAAACTCTTAGAATTGTATAATTAAATATGTGCTGTATTCTGTGTATCATTTACACCTTAATGAATTAGTTATAAAAAGAAAAGAAAATGGAAATGTCTGTTATTTCAAGCAGATATTATTTCAATCTAGGAAATCTAAAAGGATAAACTGAAAGACAAAATCATATATATGTAGTTTAAAATTTGGCTAATTAATATAAGTTTTTAGAAAATAGCCTTTTCATATTCCAATAATATGATGAGACAAGGTCTGGACCATAACAGTACCAACAACAAAACTTTCTTAATCTATATTGCTTATGTTTGAAATATTTAATTAAGATAAATTCCAAGGAGTGAGATTATTTCATCAATGTATTTAAATGTTATGGCCATTTATAAACAATCAACAAACATTAAAAAAAGAATTATAAACAATAGTAGTAACAATGTGCCTTAAGATTAAATTACTTTTTCCTCCTGTCCAAGTTTGAGATTTTTTAACGCAATAAATAACAGTAAAAAATGCATTATCATCATAGTACAATTTTTCATTAACAGTCTTTAGACTTCTTTTTCCCTTTTTTCTGATTCAATTCATCTGAAGACAATTATTGACCTATTTTTTTCAGCATTCCTGAAATGCTTTCTTAATTTACCATCTGGCTTTTGTGGGATAAAGCAGACTAATTTGAATGCAAATATTTATACTACATTGCCTATAGTAGATATATGCCCATTCTATGTATGTATATATATATATATATACAAATCTACATCTGTGTATATTCATTTTTGAAAAGATTGAGGAGACTTAAGTCTAGAAAGAGTAAGAATTTAAAATAAATAGTCTACAGACAATCTTCCAAAAGATTAAAAAGAAAGTGACTTTCAAAGACCACTGTATAAAATGAAGTTCAAGATAATACATTCCATTTAAAACAAAATTTTGAGGAAGTTATTATTATTATTATTATTTGAGATTGAGTTTCGCTCTTGTTGCCCAAGCTGGAGTGCAATGGCGTGATCTCAGCTCACTGCAACCTCCTCCTCCTGGGTTCAAGCAATTCTTCTGCCTCAGCCTCCTGAGTAGCTGAGATTACAGGCGTAAAACCATGTGCTACTGAGAGAAAATCCCTCAATGTTGAACCTCATTTATAAATATTCAAATTAAAGTTTCATTCGTAATGATAGTATCAAAACCTAAAGCAGTAAGTTCTGGTTTGATCTGTAAGGCTTAGTAAGCAATGCTCAAGCTGTTTGTTTGCAAACAGCGGTGGCTTCCGTTAAAAGTAACGCGTGGGCTGGGCGCGGTGGCTCACGCCTGTAATCCCAATACTTTGGGAAGCCAAGGTGGGCAGATCACGAAGTCAGGAGTGCGAGACCAGCCTGACCAACAGGATGAAACCTCGTCTCTACTAAAAATACAAAAATTAGCCCAGCATGGTGGCACGTGCCTGTAATTTCAGCTACTCATTAGGCTGAGGCAGGAGAATCGCTTGAACCCAGGAGACCAAGGTTAGAGTGAGCCGAGATTGCACCATTGCACTCCAGCCTGGGCAAGGGAGCAAGACTCCATCTCAAGAAAAAAAAAAAAAAAAGAAAGAAAAGAAAAGAAAGGGGCCGGGCGGGGTGGCTCACACCTGTAATCCTAGCACTTTGGGAGGCAGAGGTGGGTGTATCACCTGAGGTCAGGAGTTCAAGACCAGCCTGGCCATCATGGTGAAACACCATCTTTTAAAAATAAAATAAAAAGAAAAGAAAAGAAAAAAGAAAAGAAAAGCGCGGCAGACGCAAGGACTCACGAAATGACGGCGGCAGGTGAAGAGCCCGGCTCTAGGACTCGCGAGATGACGGTTGCGGGTGGGGAGCTGGGCTAAAGGACTCAGGAGATGATGGCGGCAGGTGGAGAGCCAGGCTCCAGGACTCGCGAGCTGACGGCGGCCAGCCAGGAGCCGGGCTTCAGGACTCGCGAGATTACGGTGGCCAATGGGAGCCAGGCTCAAGAAATCACGAGATAACAGCAGCCAATGGGGTGCTGAGCTCCAGGACTCACGAGATAACAGCAGCCACTGTGGAACCCGGAGGCAGTTGCTAGGCGCACTCTAGAGCGCGACAAAGGAGACCAAGGGTGTGCCGTTTGTTTCGTCACCGCAAAGAGGCAGGCAGTGGTGCTGTCAGCGACAAAGGAGGCCCAAGGCGTCCCGTGAGTTTCCTCAAAGGAAAGAGGCGGGCAGAGGTGCTGTCGGGGACAAAGGAGGCCCAGGGTGCCCCGTTAGTTTCCTCAGCGGAAAGAGGCGGGCAGTGGTGCTGTACCAGGCAAAGCAGGCCCAGGGTGTCCCCTTAGTTTCCTCAACTGAAACAGGCGGGCAGAGGTGCTGTCTGGGACAAAGGAGGCCCAGGGTGCCCCGTTAGTTTCTTCAGCGGAAACGGGGGCAGAGGTGCTGTCTGGGACAAAGGAGGCCCAGGGTGCCCCATTACTTTCCTCAGCGGAAACAGGCGGGTAGAGGTGCTGTCTGGGACAAAGGAGGCCCAGGGTGCCCCGTTACTTTCCTCAGCGGAAACAGGCGGGCAGAGGTGCTGTCTGGGACAAAGGAGGCCCAGGGTGCCCCGTTACTTTCCTCAGCGGAAACAGGCGGGCAGAGGTGCTGTCCGGGACAAAGGAGGCCCAGGGTGTCCCCTTAGTTTTCTCAGCGGAAACAGGCAGGCAGAGGTGCTGTCCCGGACAAAGGAGGCCCAGGGTGCCCCGTTAGTTTTCTCAGCGGAAACAGGCGGGTAGAGGTGCTGTCTGGGACAAAGGAGGCCCAGGGTGCCCCGTTAGTTTTCTCAGCGGAAACAGACTGGCAGAGGTGCTGTCCGGGACAAAGGAGGCCCAGGGTGCCCCGTTACTTTCCTCAGTGGAAACAGGCGGGTAGAGGTGCTGTCTGGGACAAAGGAGGCCCAGGGTGCCCCGTTAGTTTTCTCAGCGGAAACAGGCGGGTAGAGGTGCTGTCCGGGACAAAGGAGGCCCAGGGTGTCCCCTTAGTTTTCTCAGCGGAAACAGGCGGGCAGAGGTGCTGTCTGGGACAAAGGAGGCCCAGGATGTCCCCTTAGTTTTCTCAGCGGAAACAGGCGGGTAGAGGTGCTGTCCGGGACAAAGGAGGCCCATGGTGTCCCCTTAGTTTCCTCAGCGGAAACAGGCAGGCAGAGGTGCTGTCCCGGACAAAGGAGGCCCAGGGTGCCCCGTTAGTTTTCTCAGCGGAAACAGGCGGGCAGAGGTGCTGTCTGGGACGAAGGAGGCCCAGGGTGCCCCGTTAGTTTCCTCAGCGGAAACAGGCGGGCAGAGGTGCTGTCAGCGACAAAGGAGGCCCAGGGTGTCCCCTTACTTTCCTCAGCGGAAACAGGCAGGCAGAGGTGCTGTCCGTGACGAAGGAGGCCCAGGGTGCCCCGTTAGTTTTCTCAGCGGAAACAGGCGGGTAGAGGTGCTGTCCGGGACAAAGGAGGCCCAGGGTGTCCCCTTAGTTTTCTCAGCGGAAACAGGCGGGCAGAGGTGCTGTCTGGGACAAAGGAGGCCCAGGGTGCCCCGTTACTTTCCTCACCGGAAACAGGCGGGCAGAGGTGCTGTCAGCAACATAGGAGGCCCCGGGTGCCCCGTTAGTTTCCTCAGCGGAAACAGGCAGGCAGAGGTGCTGTCTGGGACAAAGGAGGCCCAGGGTGTCCCCTTAGTTTCCTCAGCGGAAACAGACAGGCAGAGGTGCTGTCCGGGACGAAGGAGGCCCAGGGTGTCCCCTTAGTTTCCTCAGCGGAAACAGGAGGCCAGAGGTGCTTTCTGGGACAAAGGAGGCCCAGGGTGCCCCGTTAGTTTTCTCAGCGGAAACAGACTGGCAGAGGTGCTGTCCGGGACAAAGGAGGCCCAGGGTGCCCCGTTAGTTTTCTCAGCGGAAACAGGCGGGCAGAGGTGCTGTCTGGGACAAAGGAGGCCCAGGGTGTCCCCTTAGTTTCCTCAGCGGGAACAGGCGGGCAGACATGCTGTCTGGGACAAAGGAGGTCCAGGGTGTCCCCTTAATTTCCTCAGCGCAAACAGGGGGGCAGAGGTGCTGTCTGGGACAAAGGAGGCCCAGGGTGCCCCGTTAGTTTTCTCAGTGGAAACAGGCGGGTAGAGGTGCTGTCTGGGACAGAGGAGGCCCAGGGTGTCCCCTTAGTTTCCACAGCGGAATGAGGCGGGCAGAGGTGCTGTCTGGGACAAAGGAGGCCCAGGGTGTCCCCTTAGTTTCCACAGCGGAATGAGGCGGGCAGAGGTGCTGTCTGGGACAAAGGAGGCCCAGGGTGTCCCCTTAGTTTCCTCAGCGGGAACAGGCGGGCAGACATGCTGTCTGGGACAAAGGAGGTCCAGGGTGTCCCCTTAATTTCCTCAGCGCAAACAGGGGGGCAGAGGTGCTGTCTGGGACAAAGGAGGCCCAGGGTGCCCCGTTAGTTTTCTCAGCGGAAACAAGCGGGCAGAGGTGCTGTCTGGGACAAAGGAGGCCCAGGGTGTCCCCTTCGTTTCCTCAGCGGAAAGAGGCGGGCAGAGGTGCTGTCTGGGACAAAGGAGGCCCAGGGTGTCCCCTTAGTTTCCTCAGCGGAAAGAGGCGGGCCGTGGTGCTGTCCTAGACAAAGGAGGCCCAGGGTGTCCCCTTAGTTTCCTCAGCGGAAAGAGGCGGGTAGAGGTGCTGTCAGCGACAAAGCAGGCCCAGAGTGCCCCCTTAGTTTCCTCAGCGGGAAGAGGCGGGCAGAGGTGCTGTCTGGGACAAAGGAGGCCCAGGGTGTCCCCTTAGTTTCCACAGCGGAATGAGGCGGGCAGAGGTGCTGTCTGGGACAAAGGAGGCCCAGGGTGTCCCCTTCGTTTCCTCAGCGGAAAGAGGCGGGCAGAGGTGCTGTCAGCGATAAAGGAGGCCCAGGGTGTTCCCTTAGTTTCCTCAGCGGAAACAGGCAGGCAGAGGTGCTGTCCGGGACAAAGGAGGCCCAGGGTGTCCCCTTAGTTTCCTCAGTGGAAACAGGCAGGCAGAGGTGCTGTCCGGGGCAAAGGAGGCCCAGGGTGCCCCGTTAGTTTCCTCAGTGGAAACAGGTGGGCAGAGGTGCTGTCTGGGACAAAGGAGGCCCAGGGTGTCCCCTTAGTTTCCTCATCGGAAACAGGCAGGCAGAGGTGCTGTCCGGGGTAAAGCAGGCCCAGGGTGCCCCGTTAGTTTCCTCAGCGGAAAGAGGCGGGCAGAGGTGCTGTAAGCGACAAAGGAGGCCCAGGGTGTCCCGTTAGTTTCCTCAGCGGAAACAGGCGGGCAGAGGTGCTGTCCGGGGCAAAGGAGGCCCAGGGTGCCCTGTTAGTTTCCTCACTGGAAAGAGGCGGGCAGAGGTGCTGTAAGCGACAAAGGAGGCCCAGGGTGTCCCGTTAGTTTCCTCAGCGGAAACAGGCGGGCAGTGGTGCTGTCTGGGGCAAAGGAGGCCCAGGGTGTCCCCTTAGTTTCCTCAGCGGAAAGAGGCGGGCAGTGGTGCTGTCACCGACAAAGGAGGCCCAGGGTGTCCCCTTAGTTTCCTCAGCGGAAAGAGGCGGGCAGTGGTGCTGTTAGCAACAAAGGAGGCCCAGGGTGCCCCGTTAGCTTCCTCACCGGAAACAGGCGGGCAGAGGTGCTGTCAGCGACAAAGGAGGCCCAGGGTGTCCCCTTAGTTTCCTCAGCGGAAAGAGGCGGGCAGTGGTGCTGTCCGCGGTGTCTGTTCTGTGTCCCCTTAGTTTCCTCACCACAAAGAGGCGGCTGTCCGCGGTAGCAGTGCTGAGGTTATTGATGACTAAATACGTTGGTTACAGAACCTGCTTTTGAGGCGAGCTCTCCGCCCACAGAAATGAATAAACGGACTGCCATATTATATACCTCGTCTCCAACCATGAAGGTGCCTGCCCTGTCTGGCAGGACTGGATGCAACAACAACTTGGCAAGTCTCTTCGAGTGTCCGGTCTGCTTAGACTATGCGTTACCACCAATTTTTCAGTGTGAGAGAGGCCATATTGTTTGTAACAGCTGTCACTCGAAGCTCACTTTCTGTCCAACTTGCCGGGGCCCCTTGGGATTCATTCGCAACCTGGCTATGGAGAAAGTAGCTAACTCTGTAATTTTTCCGTGTACATATGCCCTTTCTGGATGTCGAATAACTGTGCCATACAAAGAAAAAGCAGAGCACGAAAAAGTTTGTAAGTTTAGGCCTTGTCGCTGCCCGTGCCCGGGTACTCTCTGTAAATGGCATGGTCCTCTGGAAGCTATAGTGCATCATCTGAGGAATGAGCATGACTACATTATAACCCTAAAGAGAGAGTACATAATTTTTCTTGCTACAAATGTTAATCTTGTTGGTGCTTTCGATTGGGTGATGATGCAGTTCTGTTATGGCTTTCACTTCATGTTAGTCTTGCAGAAACAGGCAAATAACAATGGTGACCAGCACTTCTTCATAACTGTACAACTGATCGGAACATGCCAGGAAGCTGAGGGTTTTGTTTACCGACTTGAGCTAAAGGGTGATCGCCGACGACTGACTTGGGAAGCGACTCCTCTATCTATTCATGAGGACATAGCAACAGCCATTAAGAATCGTGACTGCTTAAACTTCAACGCACGAACTGCACAGTTTTTTGAAGAAAATGACAATTTAAGCATCACTGTAACTATTAAGATGTGTTGAAATGGCACTCAAACATTTTCTGGCCAGTGTTTGAAACGTTAATTTCACAGAAAAACAGGCACCCATCTGCCTGCCAACCTGAAACTCTTCACAGGTATAAGCTCAACACATGGAAGTAAATTTAAAAAGGCTATTAAATACAGGAAACAGTTGTGTATAGTAACATTAATATGTTTAAAGATGGCCATATTTTGCGTTAAGAAAGCATCATAAAATCATTTTGAGTTTTTGCTTGTTGTAGATAATATTGTTGAAAAATGATGCTTTTGTACTGATTTTGTTTTGGGGGTGTGTGTGTTTGGTTTGTTGTTGTTTTTTTTTTCCTTTGACAAGCCATGTTCAGTGGTCATGGACCACTGCTTTTCCCCTTTGTGAGTGAATACATAGTGCTGCTATGTGGTATTTTTTGTGTATATTTGCTAATTTTTTATTCTAGTTTTTGTTAAATAGATTTGACTTTGTATTCTGTAATTCAGGTTTTATCTCACTTTTTTGTACCATTTTAAGGATAGTGTCTTTTGATATGAATAATCGTTTATGGTAAAATTTATAATGTGTTCCATGCATATTCTTTTCCTCCTGTTAATCAGTTCATTAGAAATATTTTTAAATCAGCTGTTTTGTGAAGACATGAGTTCCAGAAAGTAAAGGTGACATCAGAAAAGATATGAAAACTTATTAAAAACATAAGGTGGTCTCTCTCTCTTTCTCTCTTCTACAAATGAGTCATACTGTTGAGATTAATCTTTGAAAGCTTAGAGAATAAGTAGATGCTATAAATACTGAAAATCGGGCTTTTTTTCATTTTACAAATATCTTGGGCAAATTATGTTTAAAATTTGTTCTTTTGTTTATTGGTTTTAAAGGCATTGTCATGCACAGATCTTAATTAAAAGCAAATCATATGTTTAAAAAGGCACTTTGCAAAAATGTTTTTGGTCTTTCATAATTCTCACTAAAAGAATACATGGCAAATTTAGAAAAAGAAAGTAAAAGAGAATAAATGTTGTAGCTTGGCTTAGTAAACAGCTGCAGCAGCAATGATGGACTCATCTTTAAGAAGTATATAAAATACACATTTCATTTATCCAGTGTATCATTGATGGGCATTTGAAATCATTCTATGTGTTTGCTATTGTGAGTAGTGCTGCAATGGACATATATACACATGTGTCTTTATAATAGAATGATTTATATTCTTTGGGTATATATCCACTAATAGGATTGCCGAGTCAAATGGTATTTCTGCTCCTAGATCTTTGAGGAATCACCACACTGTCTTCCATAATGGTTGAACTAATTTACATTAACAGCAACAGGGTAAAAGCATTCCTTTTTTTCCACAACCTGGTCAGGATCTGTTTCTTGACCTTTCAATAATTGCCATTCTGACTGGTGTGAGATGGTATCTCATTGTTGATTCGATTTGCATTTCTCTAATGATCAGTAATGTTGAGCTTTTTTTCATATGTTTGTTGGCTGAATGAAATGTCTTCTTTTGAGAAGTGTGTTCATGTCCTTTGCCCACTGTGGTCTGAGAGACTGTTTGTTGTGATTTCCATTCTTTTGCATTTGCTGAGGAGTGTTTTACTTCCAATTATGTCATCAATTTTAGACTAAGTGTGATGGAGTATGGAGAAGAATGTATATTCTGTTGATTTAGGGTGGAGAGTTCTGTAGATGTCTTCCAGGTCTGCTTGGTCCAGAGATGAGTTCAAGTCCTGAATATCCTTGTTTATTTTCTGTCTTGTTGATCTAATATGACAGTAGGGTGTAAAAGTCTCCCACTATTGTGTGGGAGTCTAAGTCTCTTTATAGGTCTCTAAGAACTTGCTTTAAGAATCTGAGTGTTGCTGTATTGGGTGCATATATATTTAGGATAGCTCCTCTTGTTGCATTGATCCCTTTACCATTATGTAATGCCCTTCTTTGTCTCTTTTGATCTTTGTTGGTTTAAAGTCTGTTTTGTCAGAGACTAGGACTGTAATCCCTGATTTTTTTTAACTTTCCATTTGCTTGGTAAATATTCTTCCATCCCTTTATTTTGAGCCTATGTGTGTCTTTGCATGTGAGATGGGTCTACTGAATACCGGGCATTGGTGGGTCTTAACTCTTTATCCAGTTTGCCAGTCTGTGTCTTTTAATTGGGGCATTTAGCCCATTTACATTTAAGGTTAATATTGCTATGGGTGAATTTGCTCCTGTAATTATGATGCTAGCTAGTTATTTTGCACGTTAGTTGATGCAGTTTCCTCATAATGTCGATGGTCTTTACAATTTGGTATGTTTTTGCAGTGGCTGGTACTAGTTTTTTCTTTCCATATTTAGTGCTTTTTTCAGGAGGTCTTATAAGGCAGGCCTGGTGGTGACAAAATGTCTCAGCATTTGCTTGTCTGTAAAGGATTTTATTTTTCCTTCATTTATGAAGCTTAATTTGACTAGATATCAAATTCTGGGTTGAAAATTATTTTCTTTAAGAATGTTGAATATTGACCCCCACTCTCTTCTGGCCTATAGGGTTTCTGCCGAGAGATCCACTGTTAGTCTGATGGGCTTCCCTTTGTAGGTAACCCGATCTTTCTCTCTGGCTGCCCTTAATATTTTTTCTTTCATTTCAACCTTGGTGAATCTGATGATTATTTGTCTGGGGGTTGCTTTTCTCGAGTATCCTTGGGGTGTTCTCTGTATTTCCTGATTTTGAATGTTGGCCTGTCTTGCTAGTTTGGGGAAGTTCTCCTGGATGAGATACTAAAGAGTGTTTTTCAACTTCATTCCATCTCCCCATCACTTTCATATACACCAATCAAATGTAGGTTTGGTCTTTTCACATACTCCCATATTTCTTGGAGGCTTTGTTCATTTCTTTTCATTCTTTTTTCTGTAATTTTTTCTTCATGCTTTATTTTATTAAATTGATCTTCAATCTCTGATATCCTTATATCCTTTCTTCTGCTTGAATGATTAGGCTATTGATATTTGTGTATGCTTCAGGAAGTTCTCATGCTGTGTTTTTCAGCTCCATTGGGTCATTTATCTTCTCTAAACTGGTTATTCTAGGTAGCAATTCCTCTAACTTTTGTTCAAGATTCTTAGGTTCCTTGCGTTGGACTAAAACATGCTCCTTTAGCTCAGAGGAGTTTGTTATTACCCACCTTCTGAAGCCTACTTCTGTCAATTCGTCAAACTCATACTTTGTCCAGTTTTGTTTTCTTGCTGGTGAGGAGGTGTGATACTTTGGAGGAGAAGAGGCATTCTGGTTTTTGGAATTTTCAGCCTTTTTGCACTGGTTTTTCCTCATCTTCATGGATTTATCAATCCTTGGTCTTTGATATTGGTGACCTTCCAATGAGGTTTTTGTGTGGACGCCCTTTTGTTGATGTTGATGCTATTCCTTTCTGTTTGTTTAGTTTTCCTTTTAACAGTCAGAACCCTCTGCTGTAGGTCTGCTGGAGTTTACTGGAGGTCCACTCGAGACGCTGTATGCTTGTGTTATCACTAGTGGAGGCTGCAGAACAGCAAGGATTTCTGCCTGTTCTTTCTTCTGGAAGCTTTGTCCCAGAGGAGCACCTGCCATATGCCAGCCAGAGCTCTCCTATATGAGGTGTCTGTTGACCCCTGCTGGTAGGTGTCTCCCAGTCAGGAGGCACGGGTGTCAGGAACCCACTTGAGGAGGCAGTCTGTCCCTTAGCAGAGTTTGAGTGCTGTGCTGGAAGATTCACTGCTCTCTTCAGAGCTGGCAGGCAGTAATGTTTTAGTATGCTGAAGTGGCACCCACAGTTGCCTCTGCCCTCAGATGCCCTGTCCCAGGGAATTGGGAGTTTCATCTACAAGCCTCTGACTGGGGTGCTGCCTTTCTTTCAGAGACGTCCTGCCCAGAGAGGAGGAATCTAGAGAGGCAGTCTGGCTACAGTGGCTTTGCTGCGTTGCAGTGGGCTCTGCCCAGTTTAGACTTCCTGGTGGCTTTGTTTACACTGTGAGAGGAAATCTACCTACTTAAGTCTCACTAATGGAGGATGTCCCTATCCCTACCAAGCTTGAGCATTCCAGTTCAACTTCAGACTGCTGTGCTGGCAATGAGAATTTCAAGCCAGTGGATCTTAACTTGCTAGGCTCTGTGGGAGTGGGATCCACTAAGCTAGACCACGTGGCTCCTTGGCTTCAGCCCCCTTTCCAGGGGAGTGAACAGTTCTGTCTCGCTGGTGTTCAGGAATAACTGAGGTATGAAAAATGTTCCTGCAGCTAGCTCTGTGTTTGCCAAAACAGCCACCCAGTTTTGTGCTTGAAACCCAGGGCCGTGGTGGTGTAAGCACGCAAGGGAATTTCCTGGTCTGTGGGTTGCGAAGACCTTGGGAAAAGCATAGTGTCTGGCCTGGAGTGCACTGTTCCTCATGGGTTACCCTCATGGCTTACCTTGGCTAGGGGAGGGTGTTACCCAACTCCTTGTGCTTTCTGAGTGAGGCAGTACCCCACCCTTCTTCAGCTCACCCTCTGTCAGCTGCACCCACTGCCTAGTTCCAGTGAGATGAGCCAGGTATCTCAGTTGGAAATGCAGAAATCACCCACCTTCTGCATTGATCTCACTGGGAGCTGCAGACTAGAGCTGTTCTTATTCGGCCATCTTGTCAGCCACCCAGGTATTGCATTTTTATCATCCCTAGGAAATAGAAATTGGATAAGCATTTGTACAACACTTAAAAAGCCTTATCTGAGTATAAAAAAATCATATTGTAAATCTAAATTAGAAATTAAATTAGGCATTTATCTTTAAAAAATAAAGGAATAAAGAGAACTATGGAAGCAGTTATAGATATATTTAGTAGCTTATGTTTCAGTTGAAAAAAAGTTTTAAAACAATGTATACTGCTTCAAACTATGCCACTAATTTATACATGATTTTTTTCCAATTAAAACCTTTTTCTTGGCAATGCCATTTTAATTTTATTTCTAAACAATTTCTCTTTTAATTGGGTCTTTACTGGTTATTAAATATTATGAAAGAGACAAGCAGTCTGCTTCTTGTACAGTTATTGCAAAGAATAACAATAAACCCAGAAACCTGTCTGCAAGGAACCTCAAACTAAATGTTGTGGTAATGATTATAAGAAGAAAAAATGTTCCTAGAAAACGATCCCTAATACTCAGACTATGGGAATCTTATTCAAGAGGAAACAGAGAATAAAAAGTTGGCTAGGGTGTTTAAGTTTTTCAGAGTCATGGAAAAATTCTGGAATGATTTGAAAAAGGCTTATGTGCAACAGAAATAATTGTAATAAGAGAATGTAAATCTTTTCTTTAATTAAAGGAGATGTTCGGTCTGTCTCAAGAGAGTACTGGGGAAAAATCTAATAGGAATAGTAAATGTCGGTATTAAAATACTGAGTAGTATTTTTTTTCTAAACACTTTTGAAAGTTATTTATTTTTTTCAAACATACACATTTTTAAACCAGGAAAAAGATTCCCCAGTAAACAAACATTTTTTAAAGTTAGAGATTGTTTTTTTCTCTTCTTTTCTACTATCCCTTAAAATCTACATATAAAGACTCAAAATTAAGGCTGAGAAGCACAATTTTATAATAATGATTTTTCTATTAAATACAGTTTTAAAAATATGTATTGAATGCTAAGCATATGCTAATTTTTCCCATTTTCCTGCTTAGTTTACATCTGCAATAAACTTACACATTAGACCCATTTTCAAGTTGAGCAATCTGGGACTTAGAGAAGTTTTGGTTAAGAGCCCAGATTGTGCAGTTAGTAAGTGGCAAAGGCATGTATCTTCCCCTGGCATAGAATATTTAAAAAGACTATTAAGTCATGTGCAAATATCACCAAATCTGCTGCAGAATAAATAGACATTTAATGGTTTTAAAAAAAGCAAAATAACTCAAAGGGTGCTCATTGGTCACCTAAACTAGT